CCTGTATCAACATAGTTTCAGTCAGTTAATGTCTCAAATAGTTCTGCTGGAGAAAACAGGTTTCCACACATCCCATTTGCTTTAATGGTTGTTGGATGTTGCTGAACAAACTCTTCCACTTCTGTGTCATCATCAAACAAAACAGTTCCAAAGAGAGGATTTCTCACATTTCTGCCTGCTGACTTTTTGCGGCCAATAAACAAGGCATCCATGGATTCAAGAAGGGTACCCTGAGTCTGCAAAGGTGTATACATACCCCCAAAAAATTAACACAGAGTGATGAGGCAACTGAACAATCTCTTTCTAAGCAGACCTAGATTGTCTATACAACTAGCTAGGGAAGTCTCCAAACATGGCCCATAATGATATACTTCATGGGCATTCAGCAAAGCAATTTCATACAGGTTAAGGATTCCAAGCTAACTAGAAGTCCCAACAGTGAACTAAAGGTCATCAACATACAATCTCAGACAATATCAGCCATTCCAATCTCCTTCTGTTTCAATCAAAGGACGTCAGATTGTCACTTAAGACGTTCACTGTACTTACAATATTGACCTCACCATTAATTCTCCATACCTTGGGACAAGCAGTACACACTATAGTTTCAACAGCATTACAATTAGCACCAACTGTGAACTTAAGAGTAGATAATTTATGACGATATAACCTGCAAAAAAACAGCAACATTGTACTGTTCAGAGCTCAACACCTAATAGAAATAAATAGTAACTAGTACTACAAACGTAGTTCAATAATAAGTAAGGTGTAAGGAAACATAAAAATAGAACAAACCTAAATTCTTCAAGACTGTCTATGACCACTGGATATAGCTTTCTTTGGTTCTAAAAACAAACCAATTTTAGGTACAATGTAAACAGACAGCCATCGCAATCCTTGGATAAAAATTGTCTGAAAAGGCACACATGCATATCTAAAGTAAGGTACAAGTCGCAACTTGTTGTTAGTATATATTAAACCTAAATTTCATACCCACAGTGTTTTGGGGTAAGTATTCCTAAGGTAAAAACTAATGGTGGGATATATCAAAATACAGGAGGGTTCCAAAAATATAACAGAAATACGTACAAATGATGTGGTATCATCATTATATGTACTGTTAGAAATAAGCAACAAGCATTGTTGTACGTCAAAACAAGCAAGATTGTTTAACGCACAAACAGCCTACTTTTCTCTTAAAACATGGTAGCATAAAGAAATAGATGCAGAAAATAAAGAATAATATTAGAAGAAAGAATATGAATCAAAGGTGGTCCTCACTGAAAAGACGATAACATCATCTGTCAGGATCTCAAGGACAGCACAGAAGTCTTTAACAGCTACTTAACACTCAAGATTCAGGGTGTGTAGTAGCTTCATCAAATCTAGAGTGAATGCCAACTCAGGCTTTGCTGGTGTTGCACCCCAAAGATTGAAACGTAACAGCCGCTGAAAATCGGGTTCAGAGTTACAAAACTGCACCTTCACTTTTGTTTGATAGCCTACATAAATATATAGATAGATTACATAATTTATACATGTATACATATGAAGAACTGTCTACAGAAAATGTCCACCATCAATGAATATACACACCAGCAAGGCATGTTCTTACAGAACAGAATCCTAAAATTAAAAATAAACCAACTCATTGTTTATTGCCTCTCCCACAAACAAGATTTACAACTACTATATCAATTTGCCTCTAGAAGAATCTTAACATTACTGTACGCTCATTAGTAGACACATCCTCATTTTTTCAAACTGGTGCTGAAAGATTAAAATTAAATGTACTTATGAAGAAGCCTATATCAGGATCGTAACATTACTGTACGCCCCGTGGCAGACACATCCTTTTCTTTTTTTTTTTTATAAATTGGGACTTAAAGATAAAAATTATATGTACTTATGAAGACTGATACGTAACATTAAATTGCTGTCTACATAAGATTAGACACTCCAAGGCACCATAATAAGTAAGTGAAGTCTGCATACGAGCCAAGTGGCCCATCAGGCCGGAGCTTATCCCGGTTTCTCTAGCATGAAGCAACTAGGAGTTTTTCTACTACCCCCCTGGATGGGGTGCTAGTCCATCGCAGGGTTACCCCCAGCATTAAGTTCGCCAGTACCCATTTATACGCCTGGGTGGAGAGAGGCACTGTGAGAGTAAAGTGTCTTGCC